CGTCAATTTATTTCGGACCGTGCCTTTGAAGTCCGTTCAAGACTCCGAATAGCAACACTTTCCGCTTACAAGGTGGGCAGGCCGCTGTAATGTAGTCTTCGCCACGAAGTTCGTGACTAGGCATCCAGAGTAATTTAATTGTTTGATGTTAATGATTTCTCCACCTGGGCCATTCCAAACACTGCTCTTCTGCCCCTCACCCCCCCCCCCAACTGAGATAGTGTTACGACTTTGCTTGACAGAGTCATGATTCAGCTAGAGGGTTTCACGAAGTAAGTTAAGCAGCTATTTTGAATAAGTCGAATGTTCCAGGTGCACATTCCGTATGCTACCGGAAAACTACACTTGTCGATGCGATACACTCTATATGGGCAAGAACTGTATATTGAGGCGCAACATACAGAACAAATCTGTTAATGATGGTATGACGAGCTTCAGGAGTGCGAGAAAATCAAACCGCAGATGGCTAGGAAGAAGAAGGCGAATCCGTATAATGAAGGTTCGTCCTGTCACTTTTCCACATACTGTTCCTGCTTTTCTTTGGTCTCTCCACGGACTTAGTTCCAATTTCGTGTGTTTTCCGTGAGATCCGTCGACATACGCATCCACTCGTTTTGAATGCCGCTCTTTTCCTGAAGTCACACTAGGCTATAAGGGTAGAAACATTAGCTCAAAGATAAGCTGCACCCTCACCTCCGAAGACAGTCCTCGAAATGTGCAAAGGGAGTTGATCCGCAGTGAATGCAGACGGTATAAAATGAACCACTAATTAGGTAGGAACGACGGAAAATTTTTACGCGGAAGGTGGTTCGGTTGGGTGCAAGCGACATTCACGCGAAGTAGTGCGCAAAACAAATGCCAACAGTTTGAAGAGACGATGAAACAGACTGCTAGCAACTGTATTACGAGTGGAATAGTTCCGGGTACGGGGCATACCAATTTACTAATGGTATAGACCAGTTTTGGCGCGGAGGTGGTGTAGTGACAAGTGGCGCGCTTACCACTCGCGCGGCGCCGGGTTCAAATCCCGGGTCGACTCCCGCCCAGGCCAACCAAGCCTTCTACCCTCCGGGGACGGTGAATTGGTACCAGATTCGTCTGGGAGGATAAACTGACTTGTACATCGGCTGGCCACCGCAAGTCATTGTATAGGCCACATCGCATTCAATAGGCCTGCGATTCTGCCAAATCGGCCCAAGTAGTGCATTTCGGTCAACATGAAATCAGCTTGGATCAATTGTACTGCTA